CATTTTATTTGCTAAATGAAGTGGACTTGGCCAGCTTGCTGTTACCAAATACTGCCCTCACCCTGCACAGATACACCGTGATTTCTCCGGAAATCCAGTAACTGCTGGTCGCTCCATTAATACACCATCTCGCTCTTGATAAAGACATTGGCAGCTGTTTTGGACAACGAACCAAGGCCTCTGAATGCAACTTCAGCCTTTCATGTCCATGCAGCCCTTTTTCTAAGTTTATCTACAGTGTAAAGCTTCTAAACCGTAGTGCTAGACCAAATTACGCAGTCATTTCAAACACTGCATTAAAATACCATCCAGCTACTATAAAAGGAAAAATGAATGGTTCCAGGAGGCAGCTCTGCGGCAGACAAGGCAGCATGACTCTGAAGATAAGAGGCAGCTGCCAGAGGTAAATATAAGCATTATTTATGGATGTGGTTGTCCTTGCTCATTTAAATTTCGACAGGCGCTGGAGATGCAGACCAAGAGCAGACAGGCAGCTCTCCCCGTAGGGCTGCTGACGCATGGGGTCTACAATCAAGCCCACATTTGCCATTGGTGCCACAGGAAGGAGAGGTTGCAACTACAAAGCGGTGTTGATTTTTACCTTCAAAATCTGGTCTCTCCTTGACTGCCTCTCCTTAATTTCAGAAATAGCAGTAGCTCCAGTGACATGGGGACATACTCAAATGTTAATACCATGGTCAGACACAACCTCTTATCAATGCACCATGATTTACTGAATGATCAGAAAAACCTGATGGCACATTACACTTTGCAGAGTCTTCCTGAAGAACCACGTGCTCATTCCATAATCCTGGTAATACCCTGAAGACAGGCACTGACTACAAACCAAGAAACAATAGATCGCACCTTGAAATGGGAGCTCAGTTCAGAGCAGTTTATCTGCTCCTGGCTACAGCCCTGCTCGAGCAGCTGCTGCTATCACATACCTTGTACCTGGGTGAAACACAGTAAAATGAAAACTGTACATGCTGGGAAGAACTTGCTCAGCTGAAGATGATGGCACTAGCAACTGCTGCTACACACAAGGCAGTGCTCTTGCTTTCTTGGAGTCTTACCTTCTAGTTGGACTTCAATACAACATTTTAACCTGTTAACCTGATTCAGATCCTCCAAGGTCATCCAGCAGAACAGTTGTATGCAAGCGAGACTCAAAAAGTCTTGACTTATTAAGAGAAACACAGAGTTGACAAAGCCAACATTTCTGCCTACCTTAAAAATGGCACACAACTCACGGGGGCAAAGGCATCAAGAAAAGTCCTAAGTAAAGAAGTACAATATGAATAAACATAGAGGAAACAGTGGCAAATTGCAGCTTTCTCCAACACTGTAGGCTTCAGGCTGCTGGGATGTCTGTCTGCAAGTTGTCCCCACAAGAGTATCTTTTACCCAAGCAATGAAACGTGCCAGAATAAAATATCTAGTTTTACTTAAATTACTGCAAAGATGAAGAGAACAAACCCAGGAAGAGAGTTTGATATAAATTTGTAACTGTCATGAAGGAGAATGTTTCAAACGAGGTCATACCACTGTTTCAAAAAAAAAAAAAAAAAAAGCCCCAAACCACAGGACAGTGTTTCTAATCAGCGTACAATAACAACGCAGCGAGCAAGCATGCAGACAGAGAGGAATGCGGCATCACTGCAAATCCAACAAAGGCATCCTCTCCATGCGCTTCTAGGACTACAGCTTGGGAAAATGAAAGAGAAAAGGCTCGACTCTGTATAATAAGTCCAATCTCAGCTCTGATGCCTCCAAATTTCTGAAGGGAAGGATTACTCCAGGGCACCTGTCTCTCCTCTGCTCGTTCAAGGCTATAAAGAGGGGGTAACAATTGTCATGGCAGGACCCTGAGGTTACAGATCTCACAGGAGCCAGGCTGTGATCACAGAATGATCACATTAGCATTAGCCATTTCATGGAAAGTGTTTCTATATCAAGCTGTCATCCACATATATTCCAACAATGTTTGATGAAAGGGATCAGCAAACATCAGCTCCTGTGCAGAACGCAGAAAGTGAAACAACGCCTGAACTCCTATGGGTGAGTCCAACCACCCATACTGAATACAGTATGTGTCTCTCTAGTATGGAGTAGATGCACATAGGAACCTCATCAAAGCTCAAAACCCCATCCCAAACGCAAGATCTCAAGGCTTTTTACATAAGAATGTTTGTTTCAGATTAAAGCTCCATACTTCTAACTCCTCACTAATAACTCAAAATTCATAAAGAGGTAGAAGACAACCCAAAAACCCAGGCCTGTAAGTGCCTCATCTACAGAGCCAATGGCTCCATCAGGAGACACACAATCTCCTCAACAACAAACTCTCCCGCTATCCTGAGCGGTCTCATCAGTGATACTGGAGGCAGAAGCCAAATGCTACTTACTCCCACTTCACCCACAGAGCCCAGTAATTTACTACTTCCACTCACAGTTTAGACAATAAGTTTCAGAACCAAATAAAATTTCTTAGAATTCCTTCTTTTGTCAAGTTTTTGCTCTTCTTTTAATAACTGCTACACTGTGCAGCTTGCCTATATAAAATTGTTCAAAGCCTTGGAAGGCACTTGGTAGATCCAAGCTGCTCCTCTTGATGGTATAAAAAAAGCAAGGACATGCCAAAATGACATTTTTACAATCCTTTTTTGAGAGCCAGTGCAGTACAGTCTTTTCCAGACCAACTCCTCTGAAACTTTCAGTATATCAACAAGCTATGCAAAAAACATCAAGCATTTCAGCATCTGAAAAACAAAGTAGCTGCTACATGCATCATCACTCTATCAGGAAAGGCAGCTGCCTGTGACTTATAGGAGTTGTGGTGGGACAGTCATGTCTGAAAATACTCAAAACCTCAATCACTCCATCCATTGGAGCCAACTATAATGCTCTTTTGTAAAACACACAAGAAGAATAACCAGCCCATTTGTTCCCAACAGTACCAAGAGTCCAGTTAGTCATGAGTGGGATTATCAGACATCAGTAGTCTTTGTAAAGTCGTAAAATGTCAAATGAATCCTACTCTTCCGTCCTGATTCAGACGGATCTGAATCTAAGTCACCTCTCCTACTCCCAGAGCCAGAGGAAGACCAGGAGAAGACCTCCTATCATGGTGAGGTTCTAGTTAGAGCATCTCAAATTCTGCTCTAGTACGTCAAGCATGAGCAAATCAGTAGCGAACCTGCCAGCAGAGGTTTTTTTATCCACTGTCAGATAAAATTTGGTGGTTAAGATGTTAATGTTTTAAGTACAGTGAATAAAAAGCACGGGTGGTGCCTATTTTTTATTAACAAAATTCACATCTTCTTACAAAATGATTTTGTCATGGAGATTACATCAATGTTTCCCACCAGAGCCTTGCACTTCTTTGCTTTCCCTCACAGTCACCACAATCACCACACCCTGATCTTTCATTTCTTGTACTAGATATCAGCGAGAAACCTTTATAAGTGAATACCTGAGATCTGTGAGCAGACACATCACCAAAAACATTTTGGAACGTACTTGAGAAATTAATGCTCAGACATTTTAGTTAGCAAGAGGGGTTCTTTGGTCTCAACAGAGGGACCATCTAGGTAAGACTGATTCAGGCTGTTTCAATACAAAACCTGGTGGCCCAGGTTAAAATATTAGAAGAAACAGTTTAATGCAACCTGCCATGTTTTGCAGCGAGGTGGCTGAAGGCACATTGCTGCATGTTGTTCCACCATCGTAGCTGTTGGGAAGTAACCTTCAGTAGAAGGGTGGTTATAGTTACATTTCAAACTTTTCTAGCAATTCTTAAGTCTGTGTCCAAGATGCAGGAAAAAAGTACAAATACCACATCTGTTATACGTCCATCATACAGAAACAGTAAGAGCATTTGTGTGCCCTTTGTTAGGGGAGATTCAAGCCTTGCACAAAAGCAAGACTTACTGAGCTTAAACACACAGTCTCAAAATGGGAGAAA